GTCTTTTCCTATTTGCCTCGGCCGTCACGTTCGTAACAACGCTCCCCAGCGGCACCAAAGACCAGATGAATGTCAAGTGTCCTCCTGCCATGGAGGACACGGGATACGACATCCAAACAGGATACGCATTTCAAATCTTCATCGCCGGGAGCGCCGTCTTCTGTGTGTCTGCCATCCTCATTTTCTTCGGCGCCCCGCGTATACGAAAGCCAGTGATGCGAGGAGACATTGTGGATCCCACGAGTAATGCTTCGTTTGAGTTTCCTTTAGGTGCACTTCGGTCGGGTTCAGTAGAAGTGAACTCCACGAGCAGACAACGACCTTCGCCTTCAACAAGTGGCCCGATGCCGAATTCTGGTTCAGTTCCTATTAGCACGTTGAGCTCCCGACAACAGCCGAACAGAAATGGCTCTGGGAATATTGAACGTTTTTCACGCACGGAACCATCAGGATATGATGATTTCTTGGACTTGTCTGGACACTCATATCATTATGGTGAGTTCAGCCAAGTGAACCTGCCTGAGAATGGGCCATTATCTGCCGCGCATCCCCCCTCTTACAGCGATGTAATAGCAGATAACCCCCCACCCTACACACCACCCTTTTCTACGGATGACCCTGCCCCACCCTACACTAAAAGCGTGAGGAAGCCATGAGAAAATCCATTCTCATCTCTTACTCCAAATGGGTAAAAGTAATAAGACTTTCTTCTTCACTCAACCCAAACTACAGTGGACAGCGGAGTAAGGATGAATCTAACTTTTCCAAATTAACACTAAAAACATTAATCCACAAGATCTACTGCTGAAACTGAGCAACCAAACCCATCAATCTGAAAAATATAGCACACTTACACATAAATATACCACCACATACACGCGAATATATATCGTGATCCCCATCACCCCACCCCTTCAACAAGAAAACACAAGAATAGACCACCTTGCACCTTCCCACACTGTAACTCAATGGACATCATAAAACAAAGAAATACAGCTCTTTGACTATGCAATGGACTTTCTAATACAAAGAAATACAGCTCTTTGACTATCTAATTGACTTGCTAGTACAAAGAAATACAGCTCTTTGACTATCTAATTGACTTGCTAATACAAAGAAATACAGCTCTTTGACTATCTAATTGACTTGCTAATACAAAGAAATACAGCTCTTTGACTATCTAATTGACTTGCTAATACAAAGAAATACAGCTCTTTGACTATCTAATTGACTTGCTAATACAAAGAAATACAGCTCTTTACAACACTGGAATCAAAACTAACAACTTCACAAGTTCACTGCATTAGTCACACACACACACACACACTGGAGGTTTTGGGAGTCTTTACTCTTGGCATCTGGTGAACTACAACACAGTGCGATAAAACTAAACTGTGTGTTCTAAATATCCACAACACTCTATGTTCAAGTTATCCACAACACTCTATGTTCAAGTTATCCACAACACTGTGTTTTATATATCCACAACATTATGAGAGTTCCAGACATCCACAAAACTTGGTGTTCTGGATATGCTCAACACTTTGTGTTCTTTGTGTCCAAAACACTGCGTGTTCAAGATATCCACTGCACTGTGCTTTCAACATATCCACATTACTGTGTGTTCAACACGTCCACAACACCGTGTGTTCTAGACATCCCCAAGACTTGGTGTTTTCAACATATCTACAAACTAGGAGTGTTTAAGACATCCACTTTACTTTGTGTATTTTAATACATCGACATCGCTAATTGGAGTGTTCACAGCATCCACACACAAAATAAAAAAAAAACTTCGTGTCGCCTAGATATCCACTAAATGTGGATAATTTCAGAGATTCGTGCAAAACAACAAGCATGAAGCCCTTATGACGCGGCGTTGTGAGTTGACTGGAGAGAAACAAAATATATTGAGACTGTCATAGTTGTTTCTATTTCTGAGGTGACATGCCGTTTTGAAGTACATGTCTCAGCCTTATGCAAGATTATCACTGGACGGTATTTTGCAACATCCCTTTGATACCACTACTTCAATATCAAAGTGTTGGTGGAACCCCAAATGTTATTTCGGGACATTTTAGTTAATACTGTACAAATGGAGACAATAACTTTTAAGTTTACACGGTTTATTTCACTCCATTTTCTCCAAGACATTGTAATATTCACAATGTATAAAATATTTTTGTTGTAGTTTTCGAAAGCCTCATTAATAGCCTACTAAGAGTGGCGAACCTTGACTACATGTCATGCTGGGCAAACTCTAAAAATGCGCCCCCCACCCCCAAGCAAAAAATAAATAAAACAATAATATTTGGTACAATAGAGCTTAGATTTTCAGGCAGCTAAAATCCGAACTGAAATTTGTCAATTATATTTAATCATTATCAATGTACGCACTGCGTATGTCATAGAACATTTCTTGTGTATAAACACCGGGCCGGCCACTATACCGTCACGCTACCCGACTCTACACGCAGTGACTAGACTGGGATGTGGCGATCTTCCAACGTGTTCACTTGCATGACGTTTGGTGCCTAGTGTCGACCGCTCCTGATTGTAAGCCGCACCCTTAAAGTTTGGTGCTTTTAAGTCCTTTCTCTGGGTGTGTGGCAAGTGTCTTCGGACGGCTAAGTGATCCACTTCCCGTCAACCTATCGAGGTGAAACTTAGCGCATAGACTCGTTGCCGATGACAACACATTCCATCCAACTTTCAGCGCCACCCCCCCAAAAAAGTAAGTTTTTCCCGTTTTTCATAGGGGGAGATGAAGAAAATATGATTGATGCCACCGATTTCACGAAATAAAATTCCCGATTACTGAGCTTAAATGACATTATTTTTTAAACAAAATATCGCAAGTGCGTTTGGTGCGTAATATTTTTTTTTCTGAAGTAGTCGGTGTAATAAATCTGCAGTGTAAAAGCGGTTTAGTTAGTGTTGTCCTAATTGGGGGGGGGGGGGGGGGAGTGATACGATTAAAACGACTCTAATAAACTACCTCAAGTGGTTACTTCTGGTGTGCTACCTCAAGTGGTTACTTCTGGTGTGCTACCTCAAGTAGTTACTTCTGGTGTGCTACCTCAAGTGGTTACTTTTGGTGTGC